CGGCCAAAAACCTCGTCCATCTCCTTCTCAATCTCCTCCTTAAAACAAATAAGCTGTACATATCAATGTATATAATTTCTATAGCTAAAACCAAATAGATGTATCTATATTAATATTGGTATTTATCCATATGGAATATAGATAAATACAATTTAAAATAAGTCGGAAATTTAAAAACGTTCGGTCATAAGGATTTAAAGTAGCGACTTAAACTATAGTTAATAAGGAAACTATAGGTATTCATATATCCACTATTTATAGTAAAAGATGATGAAAAGAAATGATATTAGTTTAGGTAAAAATGTTTATTTAAACATGAAAAAAAGGAAATGCCTCTAAAATTATGCTTTGATTTTGTAATAAATAGTAAAAGATGATGATGGTGAAAATAATATTAGTTTAAGTAAAAATGTTTATTTAAAAATGGGGAGAAAAAAAGAGGAAATTCCTTTAAAATTATGCTTTGCTTTTGTAATAAATAGTAAAAGATGATGAAAAGAAATGATGATGGTGAAAATAAATATAGGGAATACATTTTTTTATTTTTTTTTTAATGGAGGGAAAAAAAGGAAATGCCTTTAAAATTATGCTTTGACTTTGTAATAAATAGCAAAAGATGATGAAAGAAAATTGTGAAAATAATATTAGTTTAAGTGTAGTGACTGAAAATGTTTTTTTAAAAATGGGGAAGAAAAAAAAAACAAAGTTCAATTATAAATTGGCCAAAATATATCAATGTAAGGGGGCCTAGCTGTGTGTTTATGCTGCACTAACACATTATTTTAGTTTTATTTTACCAAATTTGTGTGTGTGTGTGGTTGGAGGGAAATGGGGGGGCTTTTGTGTTTTGTTTTTATATTAATTATTCTAATTTGTTGAATATTAATAGTCTGTTGTCCTTAATAAAAACAAAATACAAAAATTTAAAAACAATAATAAAAATAAGCTGTACGTGTTCTGGCTACGGTACAACAGCAACTTTAAAATCTCAGTGCTCGCGTCCATGTTTAGGCGACTTTTGTAAACACTGAGCACGTTCGCTGTGTGTGACGTCGTCGTGTCCTCCAATGTGCATGCGGGACACTTTTGGGGCTTTTAAAGTTCACACTGGAGATCACATACAAGTCACATTTAATTGGAAATGTGAACGACCTCGCAAAAAATCGGATTTCACAAACAATCATCATTAATCCCTGCAGTCTGAATGTAGCCTTAGTCAGTGAAGTCAGTAGAAGACTGTAGACCTTTTGATTAAAAAAAAAAAACCTTGCTGATTATTGATGATTTGGAACAAGTGAATCTCAATTCGATTAAATTACACAGCCTTATAAAAGCTACCAGTCTTTGGCCATCTGCTGTTTACACAATAACTTTCAGTGTCCTGGAGACTCATGAATATGGTTTGTTGCCACTGGAAACGCTCATTGAAACTCAGCCCATGTGACTCAGGGTGTGCATCAGGGCTCCGTCCTTGGGCCCATTGTGTTCTCCGGTTAAAGGATTCACCTTGGTTTAATTGTGTGCAAATATGCAGCTTTCACTCCACTGTCGATGATTTGTAAAGGAAGGAATAATCAATACTGACGCCTCTAACGAAACACTGATAAGGATAAGGACACAATTAATGGTCTCATCTTTATCAGATCTACGTAAAGGGGCATACATTATAAAACAAGCAGAAGTTTTTCAAGTTAACAGCTACCTTTTACTTTTTGTTCAGTAAAGATTGGTGACTCCAGGGCTGAAATTATCCAAATGATTCTAGTGAAGGTGTATTGAGTTTAAAAACACAGTGGAGCGTTTCCTGTGTTACTACATGACATCACAAGGTGGAACAGATTGCTTACTGTTTGACAGAGGCATGCAGTTAAACATGTGAATGAAACAAAACACAACTCCAGGTATCTTTTAGATGAGGTAAAGTCATTTTAACATGGCTTAAAGCTCACAGGAGTCAATTTTGTGTAATAATGTAATATCTTAATAAAGTGATATATTCTGTGTTTATTTCTTTTGCAGGTCGTTTAAACCAGACTTTGTCCTGATTCGCCAACACGCCTACAGCATGATCCCCGGAGAGGACTTCAGGAACATGGTGATCGGGCTGCACTTCGGAGGAGTCCCGAGCATCAACTCCCTCTACTCCATCTACAACTTCTGCAGCAAACCCTGGGTGGTAAGAAACAACCTCAGATTAAGTTATCAAGTTATACCTGTTATATACTAATACTCGTTACATGTATGTGTCAATGCAGAAAGAATATGACTGATGAGATGCTGATAAACTCCAATTACTTCAATTACACAGTTTTTGCCCCAGAGTTTTCATATTACTACCAACGAATCAAGTAGGCCCAGTTATCGAAGTTATATGTGTAGTTACCAGGTCTTTTGTGATAAACGTCTGACATGTTTTAGTTAAAAAGCATGTCAGCTTTAAAAAAAATTGTAAGAATTAAAAATGCAATTATTAGGATCTTAATGTAAATCATGTACTTTCAGTTTTAGATGAATGTGAACGACTGTACTTAAAGGTGAACTATGTAACTTTTCTGGTGAAGGGTCTGCGGCCTAACCTGATTAATCCGTGTATCATTCGTTCATTCGTTTTTCAATATAAAACTAAAAATAAGAAAACGAAAAAACAACAGTTTTCGTTCGTTATTTGTCTCCAAAACCAAAATGAAAAAACGGATAACGATTCGTTTTTTCAGTTTTCGATTTTTGTGTTTAAATGAAGAATAGAAAAAAACGGATAACGGCTTCCCGTTTACGTGATTTCCGTGACTGCGATACCGAACTTTTGCACCGGGTACGGACTGAGACCGGGACCAGACCGGGACCAGAGCGGGACTGAGACCGGGACTGAGACCGACCGGGACCAGGGCGGGACCAGGGTGGGACTCCGAGCTTTGACTCTGAGCCTCCACGGGGTCCGAGCCTCAGCTTCGAGCTCCGGCCCTGCCGTGGGCTCTGAGCCTCCGGTCTGGTCCCGGTCTGGTCCTAGTCTCAGTAGCGCTCTGGTCCCGGTCTGGTCCCGGACCTGGTCCATTTGAACCAAAAGCTCTTAGTTCGATTCATTTTCATTGGTGTGAATGCGTCAGTCGGAGGCTTTGCACCTCGGAACCAGCCGCGGTTCTTGAGCGCGGAGGACCAGAGCAGCTCTGTCCCGGTCTCAGTCCTGCTCTGGTCTCGGTCTGGTCTCGGACCTGGATCCGTCCTGATTCAGTCCGTATGCGGTGAGACTGGGACCAGACCGGGACCAGAGCGGGCCTGAGACCGAGACCGAGACAAGACCAAGACCAGACCGGGACCAGACCGGAGGCTCAGAGCCCACGGCAGGGCCGGAGCTCGAAGCTGAGGCTCGGACCCCGTGGAGGCTCGGAGTCAAAGCTCGGAGTCCGCCCTGGTCCCGGTCTGGTCCCGGTCTGGTCCCGGTCTCAGTCCCGGTCTGGTCCCGGTCTCAGTCCCGCTCTGGTCTCGGACCTGGATCAGTCCTGGTTCAGTCCGTACCCGGTGCAAAAGTTCGGCATCGCAGTCACGGAAGTCACGTAAACGGGAAACGACCGTTATCCGTTTTTTCTATTCTTCATTTAAACACAAAATCGAAAACTGAAAAAACTAATCGTTATCCGTTTTTTCATTTTGGTTTTGGAGACAAATAACGAAGAAAACTGTTGTTTTTTCGTTTTCTTATTTTTGGTTTTATATTGAAAAACGAATGAACGAATGATACACGGATTCTGATTCATCAGCCGGTTTCACTTCGTGGAAACCGTCTGACCTCTTAGCATTAGGATTCATTCGCTCAACAGTAGGAGGGTACTTTTTTTATTTAACCAATCGCTGCTATTTGGTCGTGACATATGTAATGTGCTGCTAACAAGGCTAACTGGTATATTTAGATTTTCCCAAATTCTGTAAGAAGAAGGGCAATAACGTCTTTCCCCTTCATAAAATTCACCAAACATTCTCTTTGTTCTGGCTTTAAATCCTCAATCTCGGGAATCGTTACCAACACAGAATGTATGTCTTTGTCTACATCCATCTCGACCGCTTTGTTTACAGTTGTGCTGTACCACAAAAGGGACCCAGACAGGAGCTTGAGTTTGACGTCATGGCTTCACAGCTCTTCTCTGATTGGCCGGTGCGGTCTACAACTTCCGGTGTTCTTGCAAACTAGTCTAGTGTATTCTGATTCCTGACCTAGTCGCTGGAGAGAAATGAAATTGAGCAGAGGCACTAGGTGGCACCAGCCTGACTATCTGCGACTTCATGAAAATCACGTATAGAGGTTTACGTGCAATTTTTTGTCTCGCTTGTATAAAATTTGTGTTTTATTGCTCAAAAACACCTGTAGCGGAAGAATCTCACTGTGAGTGGGGTTACTTCTCCTTAGATCTAACTTGTAATTTGTTATTGCGACATCCTTCAACAGATAAGTTAAATAGTGTGTCTTTAATGGTCACTGTCTTTAATGGTGACTCTCGAGAGCTTAAAGTCATGTTATGTTGTAACCTCCTCAAAAACAAACCTGGAGTTGTGTTTTGTTTCATTCACACATGTTTGACTGACATGTTTTACATTTTGTTCAGTGTAGATTGGAAATTCTAGATCTTAAAATGATCTAAATGATTCTAGTTTAGGTGTATGGAGTTTAAAAACACAGTGGAGAATCTTAAATATGCAGGATTAATGTGTTAAACGTGTGAATGAAACAAAACACAACTCCAGGTCTGTTTGTGATGAATAAACAGTGTAATATGAACCCGTAAAGAGTTTAGATTTTTTCTTTGTTTCATATAATATTATTTATCTTCATGCAGTTAATATAAAGTGTAGTGTTCATAATATTTTCCTGTGTTTTCAGTTCTCGCAGATGATAAAGCTGTACCACTCTTTGGGCCCAGAGAAGTTCCCTTTAAATGAACAGACCTTCTTCCCCAGCCACGCACAGATGGTGAGTGCAAAACCAAAACAACACCACACCACACAGCATGTCCGCTTTTTATTAACTCTTTATTATAAAAATATAAAACAGAAATTAAGTCGTACATCTCTCTAACCCCTACAACAAAACAGCCCCCCAGATTTCTTTAAGAATTTGACCAAGAGTTTCTGAGCAGAGTATTTACAAAAGAATGAACCACAGAGAAAGACACAGTAATGACACAGATGAAGAAATAGGCCCAATAACAAACCATATATTGTAATTTTTTTATGTTTTGAAGTGTATTTTTACACATTTGCAAATTGTGGGTACACTGTTTTCAATGATTCTGAAATAATTTTGGCTGTTTTGCTTGTAAATGCAACTGTATATTTGTGTTGTTACTAAAATTACTTTCAATGTTTATATTATATTTACCATTACTACATACTGCATATAGCAATAATCAACCGCACAAGCAATTTTAACTCAAATTTTGGACTTCTCCATAGTTTTGGATATTTTAACAAATTATTTATTATTAATTGGGTCAAATTATGCATTCTCATCATTTTTGACCACTACTTTGTATTTTAAATGTGAGTTTTGACCCTCTGAAACAACTTTTATTTAAAATTTCATCTCACAAAGTTATGTTTTAATACTTTGCTGGTGAGTAGTTTTTTGTTTTTTTTTTCCATTTAAAGAAATATTCTCATATAATATTCCCAAATTGACAAGACCAATTAATCCAATCTGTGGCATGTACTGTGTCCTTTATGGAATGAATTGAAGGTACTGCATTGATGGGATAACCATAAAAACAGGTGAAATGAAAATGGATTTAGTTTCAATATTGTTACTTTCATTCATATACAGTATATATTATAATGTCCATTTCAAATAGTTAAATACAAAAAGATTGAATAATATACACTTACAAAATATCTTAATGTGTGAAACCTCTGTAGAGACTGGACGGCTTTCAATGGACGGCAATGCAAAAATTACACTAACATTGGCAGTGCTGTGAAGTTTTTTGTCCTTCATGGAGTACTGTAGCTGATTTTATTTTGTTTTGAACATTTTAAAGGTCCTATATTACGCAAAATGGACTCTTGTGAACTTTAAGCCGTGTTGTAATACCGTTACCGCCTTAAAAAACAACATCTGGAGTTGTTTTGTTTGTTTTCATTCACACGTGTTTGCGAAATCCTGCATTATCAGTCAGTCTGTCTACGTCTCCAAAGCTCAAAATGCTCTGTTCCGCCTTGCGATGTCATCAAGTGGTAGTTTTTAATCTACCTTTTACTTTTTGCGTAGTAGAAATGGGCAATTCCAGAGCGGAAATCATCCAAGTGAATTCTCGTGAAGGTGTGCATGGAGTTTAAAAGCAAACAACGGAGCACTTCCTGTATTGCCACATGACATCACAAGGTGGAACAAGGTGTTTTCTCTTAGAGAGAAGAACCGAGCCTAAATACGCAACGTTAAACGTGTGTGAACGAAACAAAACGCAACGCCAAGTATGTTTTTTTGGCGAGGAAACAACATTATAACACAGATCAGAAAGCAGAGTAATATGGGCTCTTTAAACGTGACAAATCTACGCACCAGTTACAGAGGTTTCAGCCAAGTTATAATATATAGCTTATATTATTTACAGCATAAAATATCATTATCAATGCAGGGGCCTATTGCCTCGCTGCATGCATCTCCATGGTAACAGACAGCAAAGCATTGTCTTCCACTCACACATTCAAAGCTCCCATTGTAAAGACACATGCTACAGTAAATACATGGTAACATTTCTGACACCAATCGAACGCCGTGTCCCGTTGCTTCATAAGGAGATTTAAAGATTCACTGTGTAACTTTTCCGGTAGAGCGTACGCCACTTCGACTCCACGTTGTTGTTTGTTTTTTGTTGAAATGATCTACAGCAGACATGTCAAACTCAGGCAATTTGGCCCGTGAGATCATATATAGTGACATTATTTATTTAAAATGTTGTTATTATTTTATATTATGCTTGTTCTGGATTCAGTGTTTAAGCAAAAATATTATTAAAACATTTATTTTAATAAGAAAAGGTTTAACTTTACAAATCTAGATGAGAAAACATGCAGATGCTGTTGAAATTTTTTTGTTTGACCCTCGACTTAGTCCCAGTTTTTTTTATTTTGGCCCTCTTTGAATTTGAGTTTGACACTTCTGATCAACCGTATGGCATTTAATTTAACTATTTCCATGGAGACGAGCAGGTCACATCATCAGGCCAAGTTACAGGTCAGGTCTGCGGAGAAGTGGACCAGCTCACAATAATAATGCATGTTTTTGCGGCAGTTTTGAAAAATAAAAAACATCCGGATATATTTGTTTAATGCCGCTGCGGAACATCCCAGGCGAAGCGATAACATCACCATGGAGACAAGATATGGGACCCTCCGCCAGAAAAGTTACACAGTGCACCTTTATCGACTGTTGGCACTATATTTTGTCCACAGTAAAATCATTTGTATTGCATTTTATATATATATGTTGTAGTTATACTATCTGAGTACTTTGCTCTTGCCTTTCACCCAAACTGCAGTTTCTAGTGGTAGTTTGGTTTTGAAAATTACATTATCATCATAGTGCATGTGTTTTTATATGTACTTTTTGAGGCTGTTTTAAGGTTTACTATTATTTAAGAACAGTGTTGCGGTTTTTCCATGTTATGCTGCTGTCAAATAGTAGATACTTTAAATGCATATGACCGGTTTATTAAGACAAAGTCAAATTACTATTAGTTATTATGTTGTATTTCAGATTTCACAAAAGAATCTTGCTTAGTTGTTCTGTATTTTGACAATTTTGGTGATGTTTAACTTTTTTCTTTCATATAAATATTAGGGGTGTAACGATATTCAAGTCTCACGATACGATATCGTCACTGTATGAACCTCACGGTACGATATTTATTGCGATATCATGGGAAAGCTCATGATATGGTGGGGAGGCTCATGATTAGGGATGTAACAATATCCAAATCTCATACGATATTTTCACGATATACATCTCACAGTACAATATTTGTTAAAACTGTTAATATGCGACTTTATCTAAAAATGCCTTGACAAGACTTAATCCAAAGATCTAAGACTTAAAATTGATTAGAAATTTTATTTCTTCTTGTAGTCTACACTGAAATGGAGCAAAGGATCATGGTCTATGTAGTTCCCTCTGTCTTTTGCTGCATCGTAACTCTTAATTTAAGCAAAGAGACTTGTAATTCGATATATTGAGACGGTCCACGATATTATTGTGATATCACGATATTTCGGTTATCGTTACATCCCTACCTGCATTTTTTGGATGGAACCACTACTTTCTGTAATTCTCAACTTTCCTTTTTAACTTTTCTACACAAACTGAAACTGGTATAAATCTATGAAGTAAGAATTAGAAATACATGAAAACCAGGCATATGCATTTGTAAGTTTGTCTCTCCAAGGCCGTAATTATAAGTTAAATGATTGATTTTTATAATGTTGCTGGTACCTTTTTGATATTGCTGTAGACTGAAGCTGTATACAGAATCAGGAAGTACTTACTAGTAATTGTTATGTTGTCAAAAAGTGGTTTGGATCACTATTCAAATGCATATAGTTCATTGTACTAGCTAGCTTATTCTCCATACATGCCAATTACAGAGCAGCAGACATTTTATATACTATACTATACTTTCCCATTCATACAAAGTCCCATAATACTTTATCTGTCACAAAAGGGCAAAAATACTGATTTTCGAGATTTGGCGAAAGTTATTTGAACAATATTATAATGTTTTGAATGTTCAGAAGTGCTATTTAACAGGCACTGTCATGATTGGTGCGTTATTTTTCCTTTGTGCCCAGTCAAAGGATACTCACATACAGCGAGTAAAGTAGTCCAGTAATACTCTTTTTTTTTTTAAGTTTTGGGGGTTAGGGTTTGGGGAGGTGGCAGTGGATCGTGGTGCGTTCAAGCTCGCGGTGCGTTCAGGTTCACGGGTCGGTGGCGTTGATGGTGGTTTTGTCGCGGGAGGTCATGCCCCGGTACCAGCTGCAGTAGCCCTCCTTTTGCTGGATGCAGGCGTAGTGTCTCGACTGGTAACCCGGGTAACCGAAATGGGACAGCATGTCAGTCCAAAGGCATTCGTTCTTGGATGTGACGAAGCAGGGAAGGTAGTGGCACGGTTTGATCTGCGGAGAGACACAGAAAAAAAGAGCAAAATTAATAGGGGTGTAACGATATCCAAGTCTCACGATACAATATCGTCATGATATGAACCTTACGGTACGATATTTACTGCGATGTTCTGGGAAAGCTTATGATATGGTGGGGGGCTCATGATGTAACAATATACAGATCTCACGGTACGATATTTGAGGCTTAATATATTACATTACGTATGTCACAACCAAAGAGCAGCGACTGGGTAAATAAAAAATGTATCCACCCACCGTGGATTATTGAGCGAATAAATTCTAATGCTGCGAGATCAGACGGTTTCTACATAGTGAAACCGACTGACAAATCAGGCTACAGTAACTCTTAATTTAAGCAAAGAGACTTGTAATTCGATATATTGTGATGGTCAACGATATTATTGTGAGAACTTTGATGATACGATATCACGATATTTCAGTTATTGTTACATCTCTAAAAATTAAGCAAACTTAATGGTTCTATATTAAACAAAACTTGTGTGATCTTTAAATCATGTTATAATGATCCTCAATAATAATCCTCAAAAACATACCATTCACACATGTTTCAGTAACCCTTAATCATTAGTCTGTCTACATCTTCAAAGCTGAAAATGCTCTGTCCCACCTTGTGATGTCATGAAATGGTAGTTTCCAATTTAATTGCTACCTTTTTACTTTTATTTCAGTAGAGATTCCAGGTCCGAAATTATCCAAATGGGTCTGATGAAGATGTAGGAACTTTAAAAACACAATTGAGCACCACATGACATCGCAAGGTGTTGTCATGAGTGTTGAGTGGGAAACAATGGCAGTGAGTATTTTCTGTTTGAGAGAACTCAGCATAAATATCATGTGTGAATGAAACAAAACACAACTCCAGGTCTGTTTGTGATGACGAAACAACATTTAAACCGAATGGTAAAGACGACATCATTATAATCTATGACACAAACCAATATTATTTTACTTTTTTATTTTAAATCACAATAGATCTTGATATAACAACTTAATGGATATCTTTTAGGAATAGCCTGACATTTTGCAAGCAAAGCAATCATCACGTTTTGCTGGTTGTGAGGCTATTCTAGTCTTGGTTTAGTCCTGATTTAGGTCTGAGGTCAGTTCCAGTATTTGATGTGGTGTTTGTGGATTGTGATTGCAGCCTTAAATACACTGATTCATCTACACATGCATGACAATTAGCAGTGTGAAGAAGCCAGAAGGAAAACCTAAAACTATAAACTATAACTGTGCTACAACGCTATAATTTAAGGGCCCATATTACACTATTCCCTGAAACAAAAGACAACTCCAGGTATGCTTTTTGAGGAGGTAACACCATTATAACATGGTTTAAAGCTCACAAAAGTCAGTTTTGCATGATATTTTTTTATACAGAAAACTGCTCCAAGCTAGAATGATCTTGCGTGCATAAACGTGTATTGAATATTTGCATTTGTGTCTTTGTTTCTTCTTCTAAGATTCGTCACTCCGCGTTTGAAATTTTCTCGATTTGATAAAATAGGTCACATCTTTCTACAATGACGGATACATCTCAGCTCTCGTCTTCGTGATTACTTGAATTTAATCTGTCACCGCCAACGTCACCCCAAGTATCAAGCATCAAAAGATAATTTCTGTCTTTTTTCCTCGTATATTTCGGTGCGTCATTGCCACAGGTGCTCGCACAAAACACCGCTCGGGGCTGAATGTGACTGAAGCTTTATATAATCAGTTATAGAGGTGATGAGCGGAAAGCCTTCGTGACAGAAAAATCTCCAAAAGTGCTCGAAAAAGAAATATGAGAGCAACACTTTCCTGTATGTGAATGAGTTGGTAAATTGAATTAGTTTTGTCCTACGCGGTTCACAAAACTTGCGGTTTGAAGTGTTTTTAATGACGTGCGGATAATAATATTCCAGTGGCACGCTTCCTGCTTCTCTATGGTAAATGATTCTCAGCGAAGGAATGCGGAGGACCGAGGGAGAGTTTAATCAGTGTGAAAGTGCAAAGTGCAGAGGAGGGAGGTAAGAAGGTTAAAGGTGCACTGAGTAACTTTTCTGGGGTTGGGTGTGCCGCCTGTGTCAGTGGGGATATCGCTTTGCCTGCGCAGTACGACTTTAAACTTCATCTATATCGTTTATTCCTTTACAGCTGATTTTAGTCTTGAATAAATGCCTTGAAAAACCTGCATGCTGTCTCTCCCTCTCCACAGATCTAACCTGTAACTTGTCCTGGTGGAGTCGTCAGCTTGCCTCCATGGACATACAGTAGCTGTAATATAAACCTCCAATATAAATGACAGTAGTAGTAGTAGTAGTAGTAGTAGTAGTAGTAGTAGTAGTAGTAGTAGTAGTAGTAGTAGTAGTAGTAGTAGTTAATCAGTGAGGCTTCTGTTTTGCTGCTAGTAATACCTGTGGCATTAGTGGAAGCTGTAGTAGTAGTAGCAGTAGCAGCAGCAGTAGTAGTAGTAGTAGCAGTAGTAGTATTGGCTCTTGATTCTGTAAATGGAGTAACTTTAGACACATTTTCTTGGTATTAATCACTAGAATCACACTATTTTCTCAGTGTGATTATTTACATCTTGTTTTGCTTTAGTTGTCGAAATAGTAGTAGCAATAGTAGTAGTAGTAGTAGTAGTAGCAATTGTCATAGTAGTGGTAGTGGTTTTAGCAATAGTACTTGTTGTAGAAGTAGTAGAAATGGCAGTAGTAGTGGTATTAGTAGTAGTAGCAATAGTAGTAGTAGTAGTAGCATTAGAAGTAGTAGTAGTAGCAGCATCAGTAGTAGTAGTAGCATTAGAAGTAGTAGTAGTAGTAGTAGTTAGAAGTAGTAGTAACAGTAGCAGCATCAGTAGTAGTAGCAGCATCAGGAGTAGTAGTAGCAATAATAGTAGTATTAGAAGTAGTAGCAGTAGTAGCAGCAGTCGCAGTAGTAGTAGTAGTAGTCATAGTAGTAGTAGCAGAAGTAGCAGCAGTAATAGAAGCAGTAGTAGTAGTAGTAGTTGTAATGATTAATTTTACTCCCCTTGGATCATTTCGTACCTTTTCTTGCAATCGGTCGCTATGGAAACGGGTCCAAACCACCTGCTTCTTCCATCTTTCCTCCATGTGATTATTTACACCTTGTTTTGCTCACTCCCCTCCTCACTCTCCTCTCTACGGACGCCTCGGGACCACTAAACCCCCCACCCCCCCGACTCCCCTCTCCTCCTCGCCTCCTCGCCGTGTACAGTGGCCGGCCTGCGCTGGGACCACGTGCTCGTTCTGCTAATCCACTTACTGTGAAGAGGCCAGCGGAGCGGCAGATGCGCGTACAGTAGGGCCCTCACAGCCCAGTCAGCAGCTGCTCGTCTGGGGCTCATAAAACCGGGAATGAAGACGTGAGCGACTCCCCTAACGTAATCTGATAATGTCTCACCAATGTGGCCAACTTTAATGGGCCGAAAAATCCTCCAGACCCCGGGCCAAGTCTCGGAACGGAAAATATGTCAATTTGTTTTTGAGATTTGAGAAAAACGTTACGCGCTAATGGTGTGATTTCATTAGGAGAAAAACGTCCGGGGAATTGTAAGATATTGAATGGGCATTTTTGGTTCTGGATTGTATATTGGAATTTTGGCAATGATCCTCAGAATGAACAATAATTGGGCAGCTTTTCTTGTCAATGTGAGAAATCTTAGATACAGAAAACAGATGAATAGCTGCACTGCAAATTTACACTTAAATACGCTTATTTTAGTACATAATGACTTGAAATTATTGTGTAAAGCTTGATAAAACACAACTTTTCTTCATTAATTTGTCTGGAATGTTTCACAGTATGACATTAAACCGTTCTATCTTCATGGAGACCAAACCAGACCAAGTTACAGGTCAGATCTGTGGAGAATCAGCCTCGCTCACAGTCAGAATGCCTGTTTTTCAAGGTATTTTTGAGCTTTAAAACCACCTGAAACTGAATAAATGTAAGGTAGAGCTGTTTAATGTCATACTGTGGAATGTTCCAGAAAAGTTACACAATGCACCTTCATGACTTTGATTACTCACAATCAAAACGCAAAGCAAAAACGATCTGATGTTAAAATTGTTCAGTACTTGAACTCTCTCCTCTAACAGCTCTGCTCTGTCCCTATGTGGCCCCTCTAATACACTCTGGCAGCAGCAGTAGTAGCAGTATAACAGTATATAGCACTGTTTCCCAATTTTTATTTTTTTCTGGAACCCATATTTTAAAAGTCACGAACCTTTGCGACCCCAGTCAATAGACATTATTCATAAATCACAAAATAAAGGTAGATTTGACCATTATTAAACAGGATGTTTTATTGTTGACTGAAATTAATATTACTCAAGTTTTAAACTATGAAAAACACTAATTGAACCAGCAATAAAAGGATCCATAAGTCGCCTATTTGAACATTAAATGTAGCCCATTTCTTTTTTTTTTCAACATTCGATTGAACTAGCAATATTGGAACAAAATAGTCAATAAAATAATTACAAAAAGATTAGAACTTATACAAAACGTCTTAACATTTCAACCTACAGGAAGATCAGGATGAGGTGACCCAAAAAAAAATCTCTTGGGAAACAATGGTATATAGTAGTAAGTTGTAATAGTTGCAGTAGTAGTAGTGGTTGTAGTTGTTTTAGATGGAGATGGGTAATGTTTATACAGTATAAGCCCCTCTGGTTGCAGGTGTAGTAGCGGTATAGCAGTATATTTTAGCTGGTCATAGTAATGGTAGTAGCTGTTGTTTTAGATAGTTGTAGTAGTAGTCTTGGATAGTTGTAGTAACAGTAGTAATATTAGTTTTTATTATGATTTTAATGTATTTCTTATTCTGTAAAGCACTATGAATTACTTTGTGTATGAATTGTGCTATACAAATAAACTTGCCTTGCCTGGCCTTAGTTGGAGTCAAGTCATTTTCATTTTTCATTTAACACCATAAGAAATACATCAAGTTAATTCTTCCCGTGCTTCCATCCCAGTATTACACAACAAAATGAATGAATAATGAATAATGAATGAATTATAACTTGTTGTAACTGTATTCTGAGGAAGTTTCTGGGGAGTTTCCTTTTTAACAAGACTTCCATAGAACTGTACGAACTATTCTAAATGTTTGTATATGTTTTGTAAAATAAACAAACACAGTTAAAGCCACATAGTGAAAGTTGCAGTAGTAGCATTGGGCTGTTGTAGTAGTAGTGGAAGTAGTAGTATTGTATAGTTTTTTAGTACTCACCCTGCAGTTGCATCCCAGCTGGTAGCGGTGGTTGATTCCTTTCTTCTGTGCCAGAGACAGTCTCTCCATCTCTCGTTGAAGTTACACAGTCCAGTGTAGATTTTTCCGTCGTACACACGTCCTGATGAGAAACATAACAAGACCACGGTCAAACTTTGGTTCATAACAAGAATGTTTCAATAATGGTCGAGAAAAACCCACGTTGTTGAGTAAATGCAAGATGGATTCGTTTAAAAGCTACACCGGGACATTCCAGGACGAGCTTTCCAGGACGAGCTTTGCCTAGAATATTCCACAGTATGGCATTAAACGTCACTCACAGTAGGAGTGCATGTATTTTCAAGGTACTACTGAGCAATATAAACAGCTCAAAGGCAATAAATACTATAGATATGTTTAATGCCATACTGTGGAATATTTCAAGTCAAGTTCCAGTTTATATTTTTATTCTCTGCTGTTTCTGATGTGTGATTTCGTAATCCTTCTCACATTGTAAACAAAACTCCTGGTAACCTTATCTGTTTATCAGCTGTAAGACAACCTGACAGGGTGAACCCCAATATTATCACACTGTCCTATTTGTGAGTGAAGGTCGGCAGGGGCTATTCTTAGCATTACCCCACTCTGAGCTAACCCGCTCAGACAGGTGCATCGTGGGAACTCTCTAGCATTACCCACACATCACAAATTGTCACTACACGCTGTGGATTCAATCTCGTGTTTGGTCCTGTAAGAATTGTGTCTCGTCCAGTGGTGGAATGGTTTAATTTTGTTACTTTTCTCCATGGAGATGTTATTGCTTTGTGTAATGTTTCACAGTATGGCATTAAATCATTGTCAAGCTTCATGGAGACCAAACCAGACCAAGTTACAGGTCAGATTTGTGGAGAGGCAACCCCGCTCACAGTCACAATGCCTGTTTTTCTAGGTATTTTTGAGCTTAAAACCACAATGTGTTTAATGTCATACTGGGGAACATTACAGGCAAAGCAATGACATCTCCATAGAAACGAACAGGTCACCTACACCCAACCAAAAAGTTGCACCTTTAAGTGAAAGTACAAATGCTAGAGCAAAAAAATACTCAAGTGAAAGTATCACATGAAAAAATCTACTTCAGTAAAAGTATGAAAGTACCTGTTTAAAAATTTAGGCTGCTTAAAAAGTAAAAAGTAAGATCCAACAAAGCATCAAATATATTGATTTTTATAAAGATTTTTGCAGAATTTAGTTCAACTGGACTGGACAACTTGGACTTTTTGTAGCTGTTTTTATTTGTATATTTTTGTTTGCTCAAATTATAAGTGTGTTAAAAATAAATCCTCAGCCTCTTCAGTAGGTCTCAAACAATAATAAAAAAGGCTTTTACTTTTCAGTTCTGTTTAATAAAGCTGTGGAGTAGAAAGTACAGATACATACTCTCAAATATAGTGAAATAAATGTAAAAAGTATCCATTATTGTTATCATTCCCCCACTCTGAGCTAACCCAAAGCAGACTGGTGCATCGTGGGAACTCGCCGGCATTCTCCACACATCACAAATTGTCACTGTACGTTGTCCTGGTGGTGCGGGGGTTTGGCAGCTCTTAACCATGTCCCACACGCTCTGGGATCACCGGAGCTCCTCTCGCCGATTACACGGTGATGAGTGGAGGACAGGCTCTCAAAATACTAACAGGGCGGACTACTGCTGGGTTTCAGACGATGTCACGACAGTCTATAGGCCGATATTGTTTATACAGATGGGAATATTCTTCAACTGCAGATTTTTGTTGTAATATAGTGTGGTCTTGGGTTTAGTTGGTAATAGAAATGATCAAGTTCCATATTTGGGACTTTACCTTTCTGATAATTCATCCAAAGTACAATGATTGGTGATTGATTGATTGATTTCGGTCATAGGTATATTCTGACATTATTTCAAATACTTAACACACACTGTCCGAAAAGGTGTAGGCTGAAGCTTAAGGTTATTATGCCTACCCTTTATTCCTTTATCAGAGCATCATCTTGACACCCGTTTATCTTCATAAAGCAAGAGGAAACAAACAAATCAGTAACAGTACAACAAAGTACTACAGCACAAACTAAGTATCATCATTCATGTCCATGCCCAGAGTTAAACATTTAAACTTCTTATAAAATACGAGAGAGTGGTGCACAGTTTTAGGTTTTCTGTACTGTTGTTCTAGAGCTCCACCCCTTTAACGGATGTACAAAATTTCATAATGTTTGTTCTGATTTTCCTTTTGATAAACATGGCCCTACCTCCTACCTCTCTCATATTGGCTATTTCGGATTTTGAACATATTCTGTAATTATTTTGACAAGGCATCTTGCTGCCCATCTGGGAATATATCATCGCTTTTAGAATCTGAAAACCACCAATATGTGGGCCGGTGGTTTATGCCCATCATAGGTTTATGTGTTGTTCAAATTGTTCAAAAATGCTGTTTTAATATTGTATAAAATCACATCATAAGAATGTAATGTAATAGACATGTTTGCAAAGTGCTCAAAAACAAATTTAATATTTTCCCTGTTGAATATTTGGCAGGTACATAGTTTGGCTTCATACAAGTTTTACATTAGGCCAACGGCGTATTGCTGCTATATGCATTAAACAATACATCCTGTTTGTAAAGGCTGTGGATTCATTTTACTGGGTTTGCCATGCACCTGCTTTCCTCAATTTGAAATATTATTTCTCTGCCTGAAATGTTCCACAGTATACATTTAACAGCTCTCTTAAATTACAGTTAGTTTTATAACATTTGACAGCTCCACCAGAAAAGTTACGCAGTGCACCAGAGTTGTTAATTTTGCCCTTTTATGTACTTTAACTTCTTGGGTTCTTTTTAAAGACAATACAGTAAAGTGTATTTACCTTGTTGACATGTTTCGGTTGCTGCTGCTGCTGCCATCTTCAGAACTGTCAGTGTTGGTGGTGACGTGTCGTATATCAGATGTTGTTACTTCCTGTTGGCGTGGTCAGCCTGATGGACCTGCAGGTCGCTCAGACTCCCGCCGCCCGATGTTCTCTGGAGGAGGGTGTCTCAGGTGTATGAAAGGAGGATCTCTCCATCATCACGGTTAAACCTGTCCATGCCTCGTTTCCTGATTTCCCTCCCTGATCCAGCGTTTGAACTTGTTCTTTTCCGATCCAATGACCCGAGCCCCGTTGGACCAAGACTGTGATGACAGAGCGTTCCTCCTTTCACACACCTGGGACACCCTCCTCCAGAGAACACCGGGCGACGGGAGGCGTGGTGAGTCTGAGCGACCTGCAGGTCCATCAGGCTGACCACGCCAACAGGAAGTAACAACATCTGATATACGACACGTCACCACCAACACTGACAGTTCTGAAGATGGCAGCAGCTTGCAGCCGAAACATGTCAACAAGGTAAATACACTAGAGCGCTGCACTCCTGCGGGGAGACTGTGGGACCCATTCTGAAAGCTTATTGCAGGCACGGTGTGATGATAAACTGCAGTCCCGCAAACTAAACACGAGTGTAAAGTAAAATATACAAATGATTAATATAAGTGTATTATACATAATTTGTGCTGGAGATTTTATTTGGCATTAATAAAAACATTTTAAGCAGCCTAAATTTGCAGATGTGGTCAAATTTCGCGCACATTTTAGACAATTCCTTTCCACTTCTCTGTGTTTGATCTTGCAGGATTTGCAGGCGGGAAATCCAAAATTTTTTGATACGGGCAAGAGTGGGAAAGAAAATTACAATTCTTTGTGCGTGCAGGCGGGAGCGGGATTGAAAATTCTGTCCCGTGCAGACCTCTAATGTACTGTATTTAAAAAAGAACCCAAGAAGTTAAATTACACAGTCTTACCATATTTTGAACACGATATTTGACATGTTTGGTATTGTTGTTATTGTTTTATTGTTGTTGTCACTGTTAAACATGACCAGAACACACCAGGTCTGACCAGAGCAGCGCAGACATGAAGGCTGTGAGTCTGTAATCCTCCGTCAGGTCCTGTTATACCGTCGCCTTTAAACGCTTCACTTATTATAGAACGTCCTGGGACACCGAGCGAGACGTCAGTGATGTCACCTGCGCCCGGGCATTGTAAACATACCCGCCGTCGCTAGGATACGGGCGCCGTGTCCACTTGCGTTACACGAGGGGTGGGTGGGGGGGCTTGGCTAACGCAGACACCAAAGTCAACCACTCCACCGTTTGGAAATAGCAACTCGTAAAATGCCTCCGATGGCGCTAGCAAGCTTCCTGCTAATTACAACTTGTGAGAATGAGAGAAGTGATTTTTGCCTCCGCTGGGCCATGGGAACGGTGAGGGAATGGAGGGAGGAGAAAGAGAAGGAGAGAGGGAGAGAAAGTGGATTTGCCTTTGCGCGTTTGTGAAAGGGGAGGTTATAAATAAGTGGGAATGTTTGTGTCACAGGACAAACGAAAAAGTCCTTGGGGAGGAGAGAGGGAAGGAGGGAGAGAAAGAGAGAGCGAGAGAAAGAGGGTGAGAGGGGGTAGGAGAAAAAAAAAAGGAGTGAGAGACAAATTGAAAGAGAAGCAGAGAGAAAGAGAATGGATTAGTGCGAGAGAGGAAGAAAAGGGAATGAGAAAGGAATAGAGAGAGAGCAAAGGAAGGAAAATGAAAAAGAAAGGGAGGAAGAAGAAGAAAAAGGTTAAGGAGTGTGTGATAGAAAGAGAAAGTGAAAGAAAGTGAAGAGATGTGGGAGAGAGAAGAGGAGTGTGTTGTGTGAGAGACTGAGATGATAACATAAGAGGAGAAGAGGAGGGAAGATAGAGAGAAAAGGATAAGGAGGTATAGAGCGATAGAAGAGGGAGTGTGAAAGAGAGAGAGACTGTCAGACTGAGAGAACGAATGATGGCTAGGGAGAGAGAAAGGACAGGCAGAGTCAGAAAGAAAGGAAGCAGAATGCAGGGAGAGAAAGTGGAGTGAGAAAGGGAGAGAGAAAGTTAGACAAGGAGAGGATGAGAAAGATCAAGAGAGATAGAGAGAAGAGAGAGAGTAATACAGAGAGGGAGAGGAGGGAGAGCAAGAGAGGGAAAATAAGAGAAGGAGAGGAGAAAGAGGGAAAGAGAGGGACAGAACGAGAGTAAGAGGAAAAAAGGAGGGGAGGAGAGAGAGAGAGAGAGGAGGGAGAACAAAAGAGGGAGAGGAAAAAGAGAAGGAGAGGAGGGAGAGAAGAGAGTGTAAGAGAGAGAAAAAAGGAAGGGAGAAGAGAGGTAGAGGAGAAGAGAAAAAGAAGAGGGAGAGCAAGAGAGAAAGGAAGCGAAGGAGAGGAGGGAGAGAAGAGAGAATAAGAGAGCGAAAAGGAGGGGAGAAGAGGGAAGGAGAGCAAGAGCGGGAAAGTAAGAGAAGGAGAGGAGAAAGAAGGAAAGAGAGGGAGGGAAGAGAGAGAGAAAAGGAGGGGAGACGAGAGAACGGGAGGGAGAGGAGAAGAGAAAGAGAGGAGAACAAGAGAGGGAAAGAGAAGGAGAGGAGAAAGGAAAAGAGAGGGAGAGAAGACAGCAAGAGAGGGAGGGAGAAGACGGAGAGAAAGAGAGAGACAGAGCAAACAGCCTTTTATGTGCAGCTCCAGATTCCACGGTGAGGAAATGTGTATTTGCTTTGGTCTCTGTAGAAACTTGTTTGTGACGATTACATAAGAATGAAGTGAAGAGTGCAGGATTTTTTTTAACTCACTGTTTATTAAAAAAGGAAGACATGTTCTCACTACATGGTCATGTGGCCTATTACTAACACTGGCATGAGTGAGTGTTGAGTGTTCCCCAGGCCCATGAAACATCACTGTGGACTTTCTCATTTGAAAATGTCTGCATTGTGAGGCCTGTTTGTTAAATTTGTAATTGACTATTTATAAAAGACAGACATGATGTTATGTAATGTTGTTTTACCTTAAGATTATAACTAAAGCTGTATTGGCTTAAGGGGACAGTCTGGAATTTTGGACACAGGACCTCATTTCCTAGTGATCCAGAGTGTTGGAGACGTGTGGAGATACTTTTTAAAATATTCCATCCAGTCCTTGTATTTGCAGAGGTCACTGGTGCTAGGCTAGTGCATGTCAATGGCCATAGTTATTCTGCCACTAAAAACAGTCTTACCCACTCCACAAAACACCCAAAGCAAAACAATTAAAATGCCAGACTGTCGATGTAAATGCCTGTGTTGATAGAATAATTTTAGAAGTAAAACCAACCTTGCATTTGAAGAATTTATGTCAGAGCAGTGGCGGACTAATATCACCTAGCATCTGTCTTACCGGCAAAGTAAAATTCCGCTGCTGCTGAGAAAATAGTCCCTCAACATGCGCCAATTCACGCGGTGCAAGGTGAGTTTTATTTCAAACATTATTTTATCAACACAGACATTTACATGGACAGTCTGGTGTAATAATTGTTTTGTTTCAGGTGTTTTTTGGAGTGGGTAAGACTGTTTTTAGTGGCAGGATAACTATGGCCATTGACATGCACTAGCCTAGCACCAACGACCTCTGCAAATACAAGGACTGGATGGAATATAAAAAAAAAAAAAGTGTCTCCACACGTCTCCAACACTCTGGATCACTAGGAAATGACTCTATGTCTAAAATTCCAGACTGTCCCTTAAAATCCCCAGCAGATATAGGCAGGACAATAGACAATCAAGGACAAATGGGTCTTTTATCTTTAGCCTCAGGGTTTTAGGGGCTCAAGATTGGACCCTCTTCCATTTAATTTATATTACACGGGGGCCATGTGTGGCTTTTTGCCCTGGGACCCCAAATTTCTGTTGACGGTCCTGGATATAAGTTATATATTTTGGCGAAAATTGGCAAAATCAGCACTACATATCGGCCCAAAAATATCGGTAAAGCGTTTCTGCGATCATTTTCTCTGGATTCTAGAGTCAACAATTTGTATAAGCCATGCCATTGTGTCCTTGGGCAAAACACTTGACCCACTGATCATGATGTGAGTATTTTTACTTTTAAACACTAACAAACTTGATTTAAGAGATAGTTTTATACTTTATAGTCAGTAGTCGTGGTCTTTACCTGTGATGATACTGGTATTTGTTGATGTCAAACTTGACTCCACACAAACTCTCTGAGGCGTCTGTGTAAATGTGCTGCACGTGCTGGACCTTTTCAAAGCCTTTGTACATCTGAAACACATGAAGCAGAAAAAAAAGAGTTAAAAATATGCACTGTCGAAGGGTCAAAAAAAGCACAACGATAAGAACTTTGCACATTGAGGATTTCCGAGAAGAGGCAGAAGGCAATTTGTGTTCACGGATACAAGAATGGACCAGCTGAAAGAAGTTGGTGCAAGTTTGTGTTTTGTCAGAGATTCACTTTTGGTAAGAATCCCACGTAAAGCTTTTTTTAAATAAGAGCTTAATACGCAATAATACACTGGCAATATATATGTTCACACTTGTCCTGGTTTGATACTGATGTGATTTGGATTAGTTCTGGTCTAGCCCTGGTTTAGTTCCAGGTTGAGTCCCAATTTTTATAGTGTGGGTGTGTTTTTATCACATTGTAGGGATCCAAATCTGAATGTACAGTACCTATATGGGACCAGCCGCTCTTATTTGGGGTCTCCATGGCGTAAATGTTTTATTATTAGATAAACAACTGTGAAAATATGAGTTAAAAATGGCTATGATTAGGGTTTAGGCTAGGCAAGTGACTCATAACATGTTTAATTTGTGCAGTGAGTTTTAAAGCTGTACTGTGTAACTTTTTGGTTGGGGGTCCTTCACCGTCATTGCTCTGCCTGGAATGTTCCCCTGTATTATATTAAACAGCTCTGCCTTACATTTATTCAATTGTATGTGGTTTTATAGCTCAGAAAAGGGTTGCCTGTCCAGAGATCTGACCTGTAACTTGGTCTGGTTTGGTCTCCATGAAGATAGAAGGGTTTAATACCATACTGTGTAACATTCCAGACAAAGTAATATTATCTCCATGGAAGAAAGCGTTTGACGGACTCTTCACTAGAAAAGTTACACAATGCACCTTTAATGTTTTGAAATCTTTAGACCTGGGCTCACGTCACTGTTTTTGTCCCTGAGAAACATTGCATTTCTTTCAGTTTGGCTAATTTATTTGTCCAGCCACAACAGGAAATCCCTGTTTAGACGAGAATCTCCGAGAACAAACTGTTACTTAAGAGCGAATCGGTGCACCACTCTGGAACTTTCTCGTAGGAGCTGTAGTTGTAATTCAGAGACACTTGACCTCATTGGCCGGAAATGTAAACCAGGATATGGACGACATAAATCAAAATAAACTATTTATATCAACCTACTACGAGCCTAGAATGCACCGTGCGCTTTCTTATAATGAAGATTACAAAGCTTGTGAAGCCTCTTCACAAAGAGAATTATTGTATTTTTGAGCAATAAATGAATAAATGTTAGATAGTTGTGTTTAATGTTATATCATGGAACAAGGCAAAGCAATAATATCTCCATGTGGACAACCAGGTGACTAGCCTGATTTATCAGCTGGTTTCACTTCGTGGAAACCGTCTGATCTCGCAGCATTAGGATTCATTCACTCAATGGTAGACTGGTACTTTTTTTATTTATTTAACCAATCGCTGCTATTTGCATCGCTGCAAATCCTGTTGGAAGGAGGACAATAACATCTTTCCCCTTGATAAAATTCACCAAACGTTCTCTTTGTTCTGGCTTAAATCCTTGATCTCGGGAATCATTGCCAACAGGATGTACGGCTTTGTCTACATCCATCTCGACCGCTTTGTTTACTGTTGTGCTGTACCACAAAAGGGACCCAGACAGGTGCTTGAGTTTGACATCATGGCTTCACAGCTCTTCGCTGATTGGCCAGTGCGTGGTCTACAACTTCGGGGTTCTTGCAAACTGTCTAGTGTATTCTGATTCCTGACCTAGTCCGCTGGAGAGAAATGAAACTGAGCGGAGGCACTAGGTGGCGCCAGCCTGGCTACCAGGTGACAGACACTCCATTGTTGCGCAATGCACCTTGAATTTTATTGTTAAGATGTTAAAAAGTTAAGATGACTTGGATTAAAAAAGTTTTATCATGATTTGAGTAAATTTCACTTGACAAGTAAAATTATCTGCCAGTGGAATAAGACTTTTTGTACTTTTTGTACAAAATCGAATTATTGAATTAAGAAAAACACACTTGTTCCATTGGTAGATACTTTTGCTTGTCAAGTTGAATCTACTCAAATAAAATAAAATATTCTTAATTTAAGTCATTTTAACTTACCTAGATATTGTTTTTTTCCAGTGAAGGTAGTTGCTGAAAACTACTACATGACATCACAAGGTGGAACAGTGTATTTTGATATTTGAAGATGTGTAATATAGGACCTTTAAACTGATTTTGGTATTAAATATTGGTATACTTCTCTGCTTTCCAAAAATGCAGGTGTCTTTATATTTGCAATGATAAAACATCCCATACTGAATCTATACCTTTCACTCAGACCTATAGAAAGCTGTGTTCCTATAGGCGCGCTAAATTTGTCCACTTTAAAAAGCTAAAAAGATAAGCCTGTAATGTGTTAAAATCTCCCATCTGGTTCAATTCTCTTCACACAAACACTGATTGTAGTGGTGCGTGTGAATGGTGTAAACAGTGTGGGATTGAGAGCAGCGCTACAAAAAGCCGGTAAAGCCATAATCCTGAGAGAAAGTCCTGGCTCCTGCGGCCGCTGTCAGCATCTGTCACACATACACACCACGCTCCCTTATGTAACCGCACAGGAAGTCGCACAGAGAAATAGGATGCGGCCCACGGCAACACTACGCTACTGTTCGGATGGGAAAGGGCAGCTGACGAGGCCGAGAACCAGGGAGCAACAAGTCTGTGCTACTGTTTATGTTTCAACCAGAAAGCGGGTCATGAATATACATTTGAATTGAGCTAAAGATGCAGTAAGTAACTTTTCTTGGCTTGTTTCCATGGAGATCTTGTTCCCTCGAAAGCTTTCTAGTATGAATATCTTTATGTGGAGAGTATTTGAGGTGTTTTTAAGCAATAAAAACACAACAAACAGGATAGATAAGTTTAAAGGGCCCATGTTACACAGTATTTTGATCTTATTTCCTCATCAAAAACATACCTGGAGTTTGTTTCATTCACACATTTGGATCTAGAGAAAATGAAATACTCTTTGCAGGGTCAGGGAGATGAATTTAACAGAATATGGTCACCTTTTGTTAGCTTATTTAAAGAAAATATTTAAACTTCTATATAAATCTGAGTTTATATGATGGTCTTTGTAAAATCCACCTTTTCAACTTGTATACTTTGGTGAATTATTATTATTTTTTATCTGTGTGAATGTTCAGTTGCTTTTATTTTTATTATTTCTATCATTTAAATTTGCAATATCTATAATCTATGATAGATAAGGGTCCATCTTGCTTGAAATGCTGTTTAACAGGGATGTAACAATAACTGAAGTATTGTGATATTGTATCGTCAAAGTTCTCACAATAATATCGTGGACCATCACACAATATATCGAATTGCAAGTCTCTTTGCTTAATTTAAGAGTTATGGTGCAGCAATAGCTAAAAAAAAAGAAAAAAAAAAGACAGAACTACATAGACCATGATCCTTTGCTCTGTTTCAATGTAGACTACAAGAAGAAATAACAGTTCTAAGCACTTTTAAGTCTTAGTTCTTTGGATTAAGTCTTGTCAAGGACTGTTAAGAGGAAAAAGTCAGATATTAGCCTCCACAAAATATCACAATAAATATTGTACCGTGAAATGTATATCGTTAAAATATCGTACAGAGAGATTTGGATATTTTTACATCACCAATATCGTACCGTGAGGTTCATACCGTGACGATACTGAGACATGGATATCGTTACACCCCTACTGTTTAACCTTTTTGACCATTCTGATGTCAAAAAGAGGACTGTTACTGTGTATTAAAGGTTAAAAAGCACAATAAAAATGTTTTTAAAAAAGCACTACCGTTCCAGCTTGTGATGTAGACTCCACTAAACTCCACACTTCCAATCTCTACTAAACACTCAAAAATGTGTGAATGAAACAAAACTAAACTCCAGGTATGTTTTTGATGAGCTTATAAGAGTCAATTTCTCATAATATAGCACCTCCCACCCCCAAACAACCCCAAAACACATATCTCACTGTTTTGAGTACATGTTTATTTCACTGTTTTCCACTCACCTTCATCTGTTTGACTGTGTATCTCATGGTTCCAAAAGGCCCATCTCGGAGCAGCTTCTTGCCCACCACTTTGGCTCGGATCACTGCAAAGACAGACATACAGACCGGTCAAATACTGCACCAAATAAAACCAACAAACTCACACAAACCACACTTCTCCAGTATAAAAGTTTGCATCAGGCACCAGGCTCCAGCATTAGCGGCTCAGATAAACGCAGATCAGAACCAGGTTGGCACGGGCGCTAAGCTGTTTATCCGATTTTATGCATTGCTGCCGTTTGCCAATGTGGGTCGTATGAAACGGAAACAGGAAAGATAGAAATTCACATGATGGAAATGCGTAGTTATCTTTGCCCAGAACAGACTTCCTTTTGTACGGGCTGATGTTATCTGCACATATAGGACCCTCATGTAAATGCAGGTGTAATGTACTTATAGGGACCTGTTTGCTCTCACACATGCAGGTGAGGAGATGCAGGTCATGATTACACTCAGTCTCACTCTCATTGTGGTGATATGAACTCAAGCATTCATACAGCAAAGGTATTTTAAGGGGAATATTATAATGTCATTGGAGAATCTTCATAAGAAATATCCAAAATTAAACTGTTAGGAAGCAACCATTTTAGCAGTGACCTCCCCGTTTGTCTCACATGAGGTTTTTAACTATTGTGCATGTTTCTGATACAAAACTGGTCAAATTTTAATTTTTATGGATCAGATACCAGTTCCAAGATATCAGTTTAGTCGATATCCCATTTAGGCCTATACGTTTTTATGATAAGACGATGGACAAAAACATAATATATGTAATATGTTCTGTAGTTACTTTAAATCAGACATGTCAGACTCAGGCTCGGGGGCTAAATTTGGCCCACGATATAATAATATTTGGCCCACAAGATCATATCAAATATGTATTAGAGCTGCCCGCTGGTTACAGATAGACTATAGAGACATTATTTATTTAAAATATTGTTATTATTTTATATTATGCTTGTTCTGGATTCAATGTTTAAGCAAAACTATTATTAAACATTTATTTTAATAAGAAAAAGTTTAACATTGCATATCTCAAAAGAAGAGAAAACATGCTTATGCTGTTTGTTTATGTTATTAGGTTCTTTTTCCAGGTATGAAAACAAACTCTGAAAAAAATAACCTAATAACCAATTATCAGAAGACAAACTGAGCCTCATTGGACTAGTGTGCTGTTTGCATTTAAAGGAAATAAATTGTACAGTCTCTGCCCTAATATCAGTTGATATCGGGTATCGGCAGATACTTAAGTTTCGACATTGATATCGGAACAGAAAAAGCTGCTTCCCTAACCAGACAGCCTGCAGGAAACCCACACAAACACAAGAATAAACTTACAGACATGCACACTAAGGGGTCCCAGGAGTCAAATCTGGAACCTTCTTGCTGTGAGGCTAGAGTACTGACCACCCCCAACACCAGAAAAAAAGTGACATAGTGCATCTTTAATCCACACAGACCACAAAATCATACACTATAATGTTTATACACCACTGTTCACTGTTGGCAGTAAAAATTGACATGACTACTCTATGGAGGTGGACCGACCTAATGTTATAAACCAGCAAACAGCAACTGTTACTTTCACAGATCACTTTGAATAGGCCAAAATCTGCCCATTCACTTCCATAACTTGACCTTAGACTTCACCTATAAACAATAAGTGCATTCGTCCCCCTTCACACTCTTTTTATGGCACCTGCAAAATAAAGTCTGTTTTGTGTTCCTTCTTAAACCTGTCCCCAAAATACAGCCTTCGTTTATTTACACCAAACAAACTGTCGGCGGCGCCTAAAATAACCGTCCTGCCATAACTTTCTATTGACCAAACTCTTAAAGCTTCCTGTTTACCCTCCCCCTGCGTTTGCAACGGGAGACGGGCGGCAAACACAAGGCTAACGGAAGATGCTGCTCTACGCCTCATTTCATCTTCTCTTTTTGTTTAAAAGGAATTTCTCTCTCTTCTTCTTTTTTTTTTCTTTTTTTTGGGGAATGCTCGCTCGCCCCTGAAGAATGCAAGGGGAAATACCACAGCGAGGAGATAACAAACACGGTCGGGGGAGTTGGTGGGGGTAGTTGTGTCTGTGAAAGTGGCAGGTGAACCTCAGACAGGCGCAGGGCAGAGGGCTCCTGTCTGCAGTGTTCGGCGTGATGTGTGAACATAAACAAGCTCGGACCGGGATCGGAAGCTAAAATAACATCGGGGAACAAGATGTGATCACTGATGGAGGTCTGAGGTCTGAAATCTGATGAACTACAACGCATTTTTCTGACTATAATTCTGATTTGTTGTCCAGGATTCCTAATACTCACTTCTTTAATACAATAATTTTTCTTTTTATATTTCACTTATAGTCACCTGAGCTATATTACATTATTTTCTGATCTGTTATAATGTTGTTTCCTCATCACAAACAGACCTGGAGTTGTGTTTTGTTTCACTGACACATGAGTTTTTCTCTTAAACAGAAAATACTTGCACCTTGTCATGTCGTGTGGTAATACAGGAAGGGCTCCACTGTGCTTTTAAACTCCATACACCTTCACTGCAATTAAAACTATAAGCTGTTAACTTGAAAACTGTGGAAAAGAGCATTTTGAGCTTTGGAAATACAACAAGAAACACAACTCCAGGTCTGTTTTAATAAGATACCAACATTATAACATGACATGAAGCTCACAAGAGTCAATTTTGTGTAATATAGAAACTTTAAATAGCAATAAAACATTATATTCACAAGACAAATCGTATCTTAGCGTCAAAGTTCTCACAATAATATCGTGGACCATCACAATATATCGAATTACAAGTCTCTTTGCTTAAATTAAGAGTTATGGTGCAGCAAAGACAGAGGGAACTACATAGACCATGATCCTTTGCTCCATTTCAGTGCAGACTACAAGAAGAAATAACAGTTCTAAACACTTTTAAGTCTTAGTTCTTTGGATTAAGTCTTGTCAAGGCATTTTAAGAGACAAAAGTAGCATATTAACAGTTTTAGCCTTCACAAAATATCGTAATAAATATCGTACCGTGAGATGTATATCGTGAAAATATCGTACCGAGAGATTTGAATATTGTTACATCCCTAATTTTGAGCCTCCCCTCCATATCGTGAGCTTTCCCACGATATCGCAATAAATATCGTACCGTGAGGATATCGTATCGTGAGACTTAAATATCGTTACACCCCTGCACTGTACATATAAGCACATGAGACTATAGTGGCCAAGACTGACGAAGACTAAAACATCAATCATAAAAGTAACTAAATAATAAATGACTTTTGACTTTCCTGGTACTTTTGACTACAAGAACCATCAGTATCTCATTTTTCTTAAGTCTGGAGCAGCTGCTGTATTTGAAGTTTGGGGTGAATCCAGACAATAACATCACAGGTGTAAAAGAGTTTGTTTTCATTCATCTTTATTGTGACTAGTGACTCCCCTCCAGAGCATTACACCCACAGCTGTTCATCACCTATGACCAACTCTTCAGACCAACTCTTCAAAATGTCCAAATAAATGACTCAAACAGCAACGCATGAAGAAAACTCAACACGGGAAGTCACAATATCAGATTTTTGTATGAATAATTTGAGAGGAAACACCATGATTTAACTAAAATTTACAACAGACACCATGGTTATGTTCTAATGTGACCAGCTTAAAGAATTCAAAATTTCTAGACTATAGGCCGACTTGAAATTATTACAATTTGCTCCTAAAATTGCCAAATGGTGACTTAAAATAATCTGATTTATGTTGTTTCCTCATCACAAACAGACCTGGAGTTGAGTTTTGTTTCATTCACACATGTTTAACACACAAACCCGGCATATTTAGGCACTTTGTGATGTCACGTGGTAATACAGGAAGCCCTCCAGTGTGTTTTTAAACTCCGAACATCTTCACTAGAATCATTTGGATGATTTCAGGCTTGGAATTTCCAATCTCTGCTGAATAAAAGGTGAAATGTAGCTGTTAACTTGAAAACTACTGCGACTACTGCTACTACTGGAACAGAGCATTTTGAGCTTTGGAGATGTAGACAGATAAAAGATTATTCAAACATGTGAATGAAACGTAACATAACTCCAGGTATAGTTTTGAGGAGGCAACAATATTCACAAGAAAAGCTCACAAGAATCCATTTTATGTAACAGGTGACCTTTGTATGTTTTTGACAAGAGAACATTTTAACATTGACTCAAACAAGTCAATGTAATATCTAATTTCTCAGCCGTTATTAATAGGTGTTTTTAAAATATTAAGTTCCCCCTACAGTCTGTAACATCGCCTTCTAAAAACACTCGTAAACGAACTAAATGTCCGCTAATCCTTTATGCAGATGTGAGTGAAGTGAAAGAGTCAGCAGGACCATTTCTGTGTCAGCTCCCGTAATATGCACAGTACAGCTCCAGCTCCGTTACGGCTCTGACCTCCGTTAACCTCATGCCCAAATAACACACGCTGCATTGGTAATTATGGCATAAGGAGTCCACAATTACAGAGGAATGTGCAAAGCTAGAGGCAAACTTTCACTTTTCTGACATGGCTACAGTAAGATTATGGCCTCAGATGCACTTAAAACAGCACTTATGGCTAATTTGGGTACGGTTACATCGTTGTATAACTCATTTAAATGCACTGTTCCACTGGAAACATCAAGTAAACACGTAAATAGAAAGTGTTAGTACTGTGCAATGAAATTCTGGCCCATTGTCAACCACTATGAGTTGATTATGCCCAATAATTTTAATTGATCTGTGTTATAATGTTGTTTCCTGATCACAAACAGACCTGGAGTTGTGTTTCGTTTCATTCACAAATGTTTAACACTCAAATCCTGCATATTTAAGGTGAGTTCTTCTCTCAAAATAAAAACACTTTTCCACCTAGTAACATTGTAACAGGGCTTAAGTTCACAAGAGTCAATTTTGCGTAATATAAACACTATAAATTCTGAACTCTGTCTAGTATACTGCTCCACGTCAGCAAAAAAGTAAAACTAAATTACCAGAAACAACGATTTGATTACAGT